GATTTTTCTAGATTTCCTAAAAAACCAAATTTTTTAAAGACCAAAGATCTAATTCTTGTGAATCATAAAACCCAAAAATAATTCCATAAAAAATCTCAGAATTGCCAAAACAATTTTCATGTTAACCTTCATCCCTCTCTCTCTACCAAATCAATTATCAACACCCAAGTTACCTAGAAAACGACCACTTTGCGTCGCCCAGTTTAATTGTTTGAAAGCTCTTTAGTTAAAAATCACTACCACACACTATGCTACCAACGATGCCTTTTTCTCTCTTTTCTGTTTGAAGCCTTCAACCAAGAACCACAATCGCCTCCTCTATTACCAGTAACTCTTTTAAAAATTTCCAAAGACAAAGACAAAGCCAAAACCAAAACCTCCATCTTCTGAAAAACCACTTGCTGCCAGAAACAAAAGGAAAATAAAACTTCATTGTTTTTCTATTTGAGATTGTTGTATGTGTGTGTGTGTGTGTGTTTTTTTTTTTTTTTTGGTTCCTTGGCTATAGATGGATTCGGTTTTAAGTATGGATTTTTTGGGTTTTGGTGTTCTTTGTGAATGTTATTATCAGTAAGGTTAGGTTTATTTATAGATAATTTGGGGCTTTTTCTAGTGGTTGCTGCTTTTGAGAATTAAGTCTTTGTTGAATTGATTTGGTTACGGGTTGATTTTTGATGCTACTAGTCGGTTAAGATTGCACTAGATTTTAGAAAATTGCATTGGAAATTTCATCAAAATTCCACTAGCAAATTCAAATGCTATAAAAAACTTTAACCAAAATTTAAAAAATTCCTTAAAAAATCTTCCAAAAATGCTAAAATGAACCTTTTTGGCTTATGGATTTCATATTGTCCTAACTTTCCCAAATTCCCTCACAATCGTAAAAAAACCTATTATCCACCAAAAATACTCTTTTGTAGACCCTCCTTTTATGTGTGATTTCTCCTCTATTTTATAGATCGAAATCTCTTTAATTCTGAAAAAATTTCACATACTTCGAGATTTGATGTGAATTTAATTCTGTGATTTTATTGAGTTTGCATGATTTAAGCTTTCAAATTTTGGTGAAAATTTTTTCCTTTTTTGGTTTTTTGATATTGGATTTAAGCCCCCAAATTCTATTATTTTTATTAAACTTTTTTTCTAACCTTTGACCTTTTTTATTTTTTACTTTTTGAATAAGTAAAAAAATAATAATAGTAATAATAATAACAGTAATAATACAATAATAATTGGGCCAAAGCCCAAACAAAATGTAATAAGTTTGCACGAACTCTTTCGAGGCTCAACGATTTCGAAGAGACCTTAATCGAGAAATTGATCATACCTCGGACAAAAACAGATGTCTACAACACTTATCAGGAAAACGCTTGCGCTTTGCAATAACTTGATCAAAATAGGTTCTTTGGCCAATGTAGGTTTCAAATGAGAATGTTATGGTGATGAATCTCTTCCTAATAGGGCTGAAGGGGGAGATTGTTAGGGATATGTGAGGTTTAGCTCATGTAATTGGTTTTGACCAATCAAAGGCCATGGGCCTTATGTCTTTTTTAGGCTACCCTAATTGAGCCCTAAATAATAAATAAAATAGTAAGGGCGAAAAGAAAAGCCAAAAAAATAAAGAGAAAAGAGAGGAGAGTTGGTTGAACAAAAGTCGATCTGTATTCCAATTAAATTGAAATTTTATCCATAGGTTTATGATTCAGAGTTTTACATTTTAAATGGTAAAGATTGGGTTTAAAGCTATTTATGAACAAATCTATGGTGTATTTGTTGAGTCACGTATTTTACGATTTTTTTTCAATTGTTTCTTTAGTTGTTGATTAGCTCTAGTATTAGTTAGAGGAGAACTTTGTATATCCATTATTTGATAGTGGAAATTTTTTGATGGTTTGTGGTTTTTTAGCTCTACATTTGAGGGTTTTTCACATAAATCTTGGTATGTTTTATTTTTTTGCTATTTTAAATTATTGAATGTTATGTATTATTATGAGTTTATTGTAATATATTACTTCAGTATTGTTATGTTTATTGCTTTGAGCTCAACAGTTTTTTACGACTTTTGGAATAAATCTAGCTAAGTTTTATTATTTCTGTCTAATTAACAGATCAGGTGAAGTTTTGGTCTAATCCAGCCCAAGTGAAAACAATTTGTAACTTTAACTTCAAAAAAAAATTATTGTTTGCACTGTGTTTATTTCTCTCCATTGAAATCTTGTGACAGATTCTCTTTTTCAATTTTAATAATTTATAGATACTGTATTTCTCGTGAAACATATATTTCAATTACAAAATTCAATGTAATTGTTGAATAAAAAAACTACTACTAATTAATTTAATAAATAAGAGACGGCCTGGTCATGCTATAAATGGTCATGGACTGTGGAGTGCTGTTACTATATATGATAGGAATGGTGTTTCATATAATTAACTTTTGTGCCTTTACAAATAAAAGTGATTCAAATGGCCAAGTTTTAGTATATAATTGTTGAGTTAAGGTGTTGTCCTTCAAACTTATCCACTTTATAAAAATATTTGAATGATGCATGAATTCTGTAGTTAAAGAATTCCATGTGGAGTATATATGTAATTAATTATTTATATAAATTATTTATTAACCATTAGTTAGGTGGAACCAATATAAATATATATATATTTAAAATGTAGTTATTGAAATCGAAAGTTTAACTATTGTAATTAAAATATATGTTTCATTCGATCAACGCTCAAAGTAAGTGTATTTTCTTTTTTTTCTTTTTTTTTTATCTATTTTTACATGTGATCAACCAACCATAGGGGGAAAAGAGAGCATGAAGTTATCATCTTATCAAGAAATTAAACGTGCCTCTTATGCTAGTTTAGCATTTTGATTTTGTATGACTATACAATCTGTGCACTTGTCAAGATTTATGGAATGGTATTTGTATGGCTATAGATATTGATCTAGCTATAGTGAAATTTTAATAGGTTTATTGAAAAGTGAAAACCTGGCTGTTTGGTGAAGGATCTTATGGGTTTTGATGAATTTTTTATTTGTGTGGCTATATATACTGATCTGGATATAGTGGAATTTCGATGGATTTTGTGCAGTCTGGTTTTGTTTCATGTTGAATCTTTGAACAAATCATGCAAAAGGAAAGGAACATATTGCTATATTTATTACATGTTTCCATTCTCTCGACTCAATTGAAATAATCCAAAAATTGAAATAATCTAGAAATTGTATTATATCATAGGTTTGGGTGCATCGAGTTCATAGAGATTACTACGCGCAAATAATTAAGGAAAGATGGAAATTTTGAGGATATGTTACTACATTATTGTTGATAATTGGTATTTTGATAGCTTTAAAGATTAATTCCTTATTTTTGTTATATTTATTGGGGAGATAAGTCACACTTGAAGTTATGAGAGCACATTAGAGAGCCTATACATATATATTTGATACCATTTGAATTTAAAAACTTAAGCTGAGATTTTTTATTCATATGTGAACTTTTTATAAGTTCTGATCAAATTTCATCTCAACTCTTCTGTGCGTAGGTCAAATAATCTTAGTGTTTGAGTACATGAAATTGATAGATATGACCAACCTCTGATCTACCAATAATCTCTCTCCAAGCAACACTACTAGGACTCAAATATGTGACTTTGACTCTAATACCGGTTGTTTAGAGATTTGTCACACTTAGAACTTACGATAAAATATCAAAGAGCCTATAGATGTATGTTAGACACCACTTAGAATCAAAAAGTTTAAGTTATTAGTTTCTTGAATCCTTCATGAATATATAAAATATTTCATTCAAATTTTTTAATAATATAAAATTTTTTATTCACATGTGAATCTTATTTCAACAATATTTTAGAATAATGTTAACTATTATCTTTTAATTATATTACACTGTTATATTTTGATAATGATGCTATTGCATTATTGTTGGTAATTAATATTTTGATAATTTAGGTATTTATAATGGGATTGTTATCATGTTACAAGTTTGATAGGTTGTAATTTTGTAATGCTGAAAAATGGAAATATAGTATCAAGTGTTACCTAGTTACATGGCCTATAAATGGAATTGTTTTTGGTCCACTAAAATCAATTAAAACTTTTTTTTAATGAAAAATTCAAGGTAAATAAGTTACTTAATTTCTTAAATTAAGATAATATATATCGTACATGACAATCTTAAATATGTAGCTACGGATCATATATTTAAGATGATCTTAACAAACGATCATCAATAATATTTAAATTTACTATTTTTTCGTTAAAAAAAATAAGTCTTAACTAATTAAGCCAACCATTTATTGATATTTTTAAGACTTTTATTTCCTACTAAAATCAATTACATAAACTTTTCTTGTCAACTGTTTATTAAGCCCAATTAATAATGTTACAACATGCTATTAAAGCTTGTCATATCAACATAAATGGGTTTCATTTCATAAATACAACAACATTAGTATTACTATAAACAATCAAACATGTAGGCAACGTTATTATATAATTAGAATTCAATATTTAATTAAACTGCTTCATGTATTTGTTTTTAAAAATGATATTTAATAAATTTAAAATTCAAAATTTGATACCTACAAATTTTTTCAAAAAAAATTTATTATAGATTACTATAAATATGTAAATTCAGGTATGTAAATAAAACAAATTTAATTTCTTTCTAAAAAGAAATTTTCAAATTTCTCTAAAAAAATTTTACTAAAGGCTTGCCTTTTTTTTTTTTTAGAAAAATATGCTATTACTAATAATTATTAGTAGAATTAATTTTAAAAATATACATTTCATCATAAAATCTCTTTAGAGTTAATTATTCTTACATTGGTGTAACATGTCAGTTGTAAGGCAAACAAATCTCTCCATGACAAAAAAAAAAAAAGAAAAAAAAACTCCTGGTACACGCGCGTATAGATAAATAAATAAATAAATATATATATATATATATGCATGCATATAATGTACTAAACGGTGTCGTTCGAGCTACAGCTTAACGGCCTTCGTAATTCGTCGTGTCCCCCAACTGTTAAAACTGAAAATTTTCCAAGAAATGATCAGATCTCGAATTTTCAGTCCAGACTTCCAGCCGTTAATTTTAGGGTTTCCCATCCTATATCTCCGAGATGACAAACATCGATCAGATCATCAACAACTCTTCCCGCCATTAATTCTAGGGTTTCCCTTCTAAATCTGCGAGATGCAAAACATCCATCAGATCGTCAACAACTCTTCAATTTACAAAACTCCGATATCCAAAATCAATGTCCAGAATGGTCAAAGTGATCGCCAATGCCACGGGGTCTGGTACGACGCCGTTCTAGTGGTTCCCGCGGTGCTATTCGTGGTGTACCTGGCGGTGAACGCTAAGAAGAACGTGGAGAAGCTGAGAAATGGAAGGTCGTACGTTATGATTTCCTATTATGCCCTTCTCTGGCTTGCCAGTGGACTTAACCTTGCTTGGTGTTCTCTTCAGGTATAGCTCTGACTTTCTTGTCTTTTCCATGAACAAGTATATATATTTATTGGATTTAATTGTGAGCTTAATGAAAGTCATCTTGGTCTTTTAGTCTTTTTTAACTGTGAATTTGGTGAATAAATCTTAAGAAAATAAAATAACCAAAAGGAATTTGAAATTTTAATTTTTTTGGAAAATGTTTATAAATATCGAGGGATAATGAAATGGAAATGTTTGAATATGCTTTACATCTTAGCGTTTAGACCGTTTAAATTAAATATGATTTTGTTGTTTACTATTTGGCTTGCTTTCTGATACAGTAATTTTCGAGGAAGTAAACATCAAATAGCAAAAGTAACAATCAAATAGGGTATTATTTGGCGCATCCAATTTGTTGTGAATAAGATAGAGATATGGTAGCGGAAAGCGACTAAAAATGATTTTTGTTCTACTCACAATTGTAATTTTAACTGTTGAAATCATAATTGTTAAATTGAGGTGCCTATGGTGAATCAAAATCTTGTTTTTGAGTATCATATGATATTTGTTTATGTATTGATAGATATGACACCTATTCGTGATAAAACTGATTTTCCATATAAATATGTAACGATTTTGTAGTGAATCGAATCGTATGTGTGGAAAAACTAAGAAATAAAATTGTGTGGAAAACTAAGAGTAAAACTGAATGTATATTGAAAAACTGCTCATAAAAAATTATACAAACACCTTAGGTTTATATACAACTATCTAGTGGGTAAACTAGGAAATTAAATCTTCCTAAAATTGATCCCATAATTGAGGGATTGTCTATCCTAATGTCCTTAATTTTAGGGATACAAATACTTAATTTTAGAGATACAAATATAAATATATAGATTACAAGATAACAAAATAAGTGTTTTCCCACACTCTTTAAACTGCTGAATAGGTGTTTTCCATTCCTTGCTTGGAAATAATTTCTTGAAATGTTGTACTACTGAGACCTTTAGTCAACACATCTGCGAGTTGACCCTTGGTTTACACATACGGTATGCAAATCAACCCACTATCTAGTTTCTCCTTTATGAAATGCTCGTCTACTTCAATGTGTTTTGCTTTTTCATGTTGCACAGGATTGTGTGCACTGCTTATTGCAGACTTGTTATCACAGTAAAGTCTCATTGGTCCATCCCACTTGATCTTCAAGTCTTCTAGGATAATCTTTAACCATTGTAGTTTGCTTCAGTACTTGATCTTGCCACCACATTTTGTTTTTTACTCTTCCAAGTCACGAGATTACCACCTAGGAAAGTGTAGTAGCCTAAGGTAGATCTTCTATTAGTTACTGAACCTGCATAATCTACATTTGTATATGCCTCTAGAATCAGTCTTGAATTTCTTTTGAATAAGATACCTCTCCCAAGATTGGCCTTTAAATAGTGCAATACACGGTACACAACCTATAGGTGCACTTCTTTAGGACAATCCATAAATTGATTTATCACACTCGCAGCATATGCTATATCAGGTCTAGTATGTGAGATATAAATGAGTCTTCCATCTAATCTCTAGTACATCTCTCTATCTACAGCAGCATCTTCATTAGCTTCTCCAAGTTTATGATTAGGATCTATAGGAATATTTGCAGGTTTACATGTGAGCTTCCTAATTTCTTTCAAAAGATCCATCACATATTTCTATTGTGAGATGAAAATACTATGCTGTGAGTGAGCTACTTCAATTCCTAAGAAGTACTTCAATCTCCCTAGCTCTTTTATCTCAAATTCTCTAGCCAAACACTGTTTTAGAGATTCTTTCTCTTTTTCATCATCTCCACTTACAATTATATCGTCAACATACACTAATAGAACTATGACTCTCCTTGAATGAGAGTGCTGGATAAACAATGTGTGAACTCCTTGGCTCTGCTTATATCTTGCTAGCATCACTTTGACAAATCTCCCAAACCAAGCCCTAGAAGACAAAATCTGGCTTTATCATTTTAAAAAAAAACATTTATTTACAACTGGTTGTAATCTTGTAATCTGTATATTTATATTTGTATCTCTAGAATTAAGTATTTGTATTCCTACAATTAAGGACAGAAAATTAGGATAAACAATTCCTTAATTATAGGATTAGTTTTAGGAAGATTTAGTTTCCTAGTTTACCCACTAGTTATTTGTATATAAACCTAAGATGCTTGTATAATTTTTTATGAGCAGTTTTTCAATATACATTCAGTTTTACTCTTAGTTTTTCACACAATTTTATTTCTCAGTTTTTTCGCATGGTATCAGAATCAGGATTTTTTTTGTTGCCCTTTCCAAATCTGTCATGTGATAGGCTTCTTTCATCTCCGCCTACATGTGATGGGAGCCTATAAAAGTGGTGTTATCCCACATCTAATAAATTTCCAATATCCTGTACTCTTATATTCAAGTTGGACCCCCCCACTTACTGACAGTTGGTTTTAAAGTTGGATGATTAATAGTATGGTGTATCAAGTATCTTATGTTCTTAACAACTATGGTTGAAATTTAGATTATTGTTTTCAGCTGACTTACTTTCGTTTAGGATCTGATTGTTAAACTTGATTAATAAGCAGTCATGGCAATGTGCTACTGGAAGGGAGGTTGCTTGGAATCTTCTGTCACTATTCACCGCCTCCTGTCTGTTATGTTTAGAAATCAGCTTGGTGGGTTTCTTACTGCAGGAGAGTTATGCGAGTGGACTGGAAGCTTTAGCACGTACTTTCACTATCTCAGGGATCATTATTGGCATTGATGTGCTTCTCAAGGTAACCTCCCAATATCAGTTGACCATGTTAAAATGTGGCATAATCTTCATTGCATGGCAATAAAAGGAGCAGTGATGGAATGTTAAGATATTAAACAGCCTCTTGTTACTGCAATACGATGTGTTCATGTGTGAAATAATATGAGTAATAGTTTTCAAGGACATGATGCTTAGTTATGCTGATACTCTGAACGTAATCAATCTACTTGATTTTCTGGTTAGTCTGGTATCAGTTACTACCACATTTGGTAACTTCATTTCTCTAAAACAGAATTTACTTCTAGAAAGGGTAGCACCTTTTATTCTTCTAGGTTGTGATAGTTGTTCTTAGCCATGTAGATCGAACTACAAATTTATTGATCTTCTTAGAAAACCCATACACCAAGACCCAGTGATTTTTCCTTTTTCTTTGCTACATTTGAGGAAGTCCAGCTAGAGCTAAGGGAGGATTCAATTTTTGACCTTTAGAATCCTAAAGTGGGGTAATAATATTTGGATGACCTTTTATCTTATCTGTACAGATCTAGAAGAAGTTAGGCCCATCAGGTGTTGCAGCAATCCTTTTTTTACTTTCAAAGTAAACCCTTACTGAGTGTTTACAAGATTAGTTGTCTATGTCAAAAACATGGATTAATGATATATGTTTATTAGTTTCCATGACTTGCATTGTGAGGTTATACTGATAGCACATATACAAGCACATACCTTCTTGTTTTTCATGCTCTATATTTTGTAGATTGTTCTTCAATTATCATATGCAATTTTATATGTGCTGTCATTTTCATCTTTCTTTCTTAAATGCTTCTTTCTGCAGGCAATCTATATTTTTGGATTTGGGGTCCCACTCTTCATTGATGATGTCGGAAGCACTCATAGGATGAAGTGGGGGTTGTGGATCATCCACAAATTATTGCTTACTGCAGTTTATGGTTTCATCTTGCTTGTGCATTTCTCAAAATGGAGAGAGAAATTGCCCCGTGAGTAGATTGTTAATTTAAAGAGCAGCATTCTTTTCTTGATTGCACCAGCATTCTATAACTCTTCAACATTCTTTCCAAATTATGCAGCCAGACCGGCATTCTACAACTACGTAGCTATCATGTTTGTTGTCAATGCTATTGCATTGTTTGCTTGTGGTCTTGCCGCTATTGGAATAGGCTTTGGCATTTGGTAGGTTATGTTTTCATTTTTGTCTTCTGGATTGAAGCATTCTATACTCTGTAATTATACATCAAAGTTCCATATACAATGGAAAGAGACCATGAATCAGGGTTTGCATATTAACATGCTACTTATTTTCTGCAGGTTGTACAATTTAACGGTTATGTGCTATCACTCGCTTTATCTCCCTTTCCTGTATACAACATTCCTAGCTGATTTTTTCCAGGTAATATTTCCCTACAATTGGTAAATGATCTCTTATGGTTATCTCCCTCATTGTGCAATAATAATAACACAGAATGTTGTTAATGAGCAGGAGGAAGATTTTCTTTTGGATAATGCATATTACTCTGAGATGAGAGATGCTGGGTTCTTTGATGTAGATTGGGATTAGTGGATTACCCTCTGCGATTGATTGTAACAAAACTTGCCAAGACCATTGGTTGCATACTTTGTAAATAAATTCAAAATTAAAGGCAACATATTTTTAAAGTCCAGCTGTTCTCTATAAATTTTAATCTTCTCCTCGTATCCTCAACTTTGATTTATGTTCTTGCAAAATGCATCTGCTGCATTCAGACAGGATATGATAAAAACAATATGAATTTTGACAAAAATCATACATAAATTTAATAAAAATAAATATATATTTTTTATTTTTAATATATCAACATAAATTATAATATGATAATTTTTATGTTTTATGCAACATGACAATTTTCGTGTTTTAGAGAAAATAAATATATCGCTGATACTCAGAATTTAATTTATGCTTAACAATTGTATCAATATTAAACGTGCATCGAAATTACCAGTGTAAAAAAGGGGCACCATATCATCATGAATGTATTTTCGGAAAACATTTGAATATATGCTAAAAAAGTTTGTCATTTTTTTTTCCAATTGATAATGTGTCTTAAAATTCGTAAAAAGAACTAGAAAAAGATCTAGAAACTGCAATGTTAAATTTGTTTCCAAGCTAACTGACCCCAGATGTTTTCTCTTTTCTTTTTCTTAAGCATGATAATGAGGTCCAAATACGCACTTTTGATTGGCAAGAGGTCTTAAATCACCACTCCAGATAAATATTCCAAAAAGCAGAAAATAAAAACTCCAAATCACTTAAAAAATTGGAACTCATATCTACAATTTTCAGGTACCAAATATGGCAATGGAGGATTACAGCATTATAGTTAAGTTTGCAAAATTCCATGTCATATGGCAAAAGCTATACAAACTACAGCAAAAACGTTATTACCTATCAATAATTTCATACACTTTTGAGGTATGTATCATCAGGATCGGCAGAGGCTTGTCAACTTAGGTTCGATGAATCGAAACTGCCAATAAAAAGACTTTAGAAGTATGCCTTGAGAGAGAAAGGAGAGCACGCAGCTGTTTCTCTGGATATCAGTCCAGATTCGGAAAAAGATAGTAATGCGGACTTACTCTAGATGGTGAATTTGATGAATCTTGATTCCCACATACAAGCATTATGCAGCAAGTTCTTCAATGGAGTGTTCTTGCTCAAAACCAAGATAGCAATCTGAAACTATAATCAGTTTCATCCCCTGGAAAAGAGAACAGTCTCCAATTAACTTAAAAGATTTAATTCTGTGGATCACGCATTCGAAGATCAATTTCACCTCTACGAATCATATAAAAATGTAACATGCTCTGCCTCCAACACAAATGGTACATAGTAAGTCATGCTATCAATTCTTTACCCATTAACTGCTTAAATTTCATAGGCTTAAACAATTTTCTTTAAGAATCTAATAAACCAGGAAAAACATTGTGTGTGTGTGTGTGTGTGTGTGTGTGTGTGTGTGTGTGTGTGTTGTGTGTGTGTGTGTGTGTGTGTGTGTGTGTGTGTGTGCATTATATATCACCAAACAAACATTTACAAATTAGTGAATATGCACCTCAACCTTCAACATCAAACAATGAATGCTTACTAGGTCATGCATCTATTCTTCTCCACTAAATGCTAATCTAATTGATATACTGCTAAACAACTCTTAAGGTAAGAAACTTATCCTGTGAAAAGCACATGACTTTATTTTTCACAAAAGGAGAGCATTTAAAGGCCTTAATACCTGAAACGTGGTCACATCTGATGGTAACTCCATGTGGGTAACTAAGCGACCAGAGAAAGAAACTCTCTTCAGTGCATATAGTTCAGCAGTAGAGGTGTTACCAAGAATCAACCACCATGCTTCATCTTTAAGCTGCAACAGAACATCTTGCTAAGTTTGTGTTCCTAAACATGAAACTAAAGAAACAAAAACTGTTTACCTTAGGGAATCGAGGGGCAAATGCCCTTGATGCATTCCGCCTCAAATTTGTTTGCTCCAATCTGATGTTCAGTTGGAGGGATTTTTCACTCTCTTTGCCCTTCTTCAGCAGTTTTAATTTGATTTGTAGACGGGGAAACAGCTGCAGATCCTGATGAAAGAAAGAACACAGGACCAACCAGGTAATCAGAGGGTATATCCACACATCAAGAAAAATTTCAAGCAACAACACCATTTTCACAGTTAGAGGCCAACATCAAAGCACCAACTTTCTAAATATTTACTGAAACATTGAGCAAGGCTTGAAAGAATTTTATTAGAATACAAGTTGATAACCTGGATGACTTCAGATATAAGAGGAACTTTTAAAAAACTTTTTAAAATATCAACCTAGGAACAGAGAAACTTGGAGCAGAGAGAGGAATGGATGAATGAACCTAGATCATAATAAGACTTAGCAGTGAAATCATGCAACTCATACAATACGACACTATATCTAACATTATATTCCAAAAATGTGCACCTGATATAATTTTGATGCAGGGAAATTTCCAATCACAGTTTGCAATGTCGCCTTAGAAAGATCAAATAGTTGCTGTACTCTGGAAATTCCTCTCTTGCTCAATGAGCCAGCAAGTTCATTATTCATGCATGGCAACATCCACAGGGCAGAATCCTGATCAAACCACAAACCCTGAAATGACAGAAGAGATGTCAGAACGAAGACAGAGAAAAGCAATATTTTGATCTAAACAACTTTTTTGAAAATGAGAAAACTTATGAGGACACTGGAATTAGAAGCTTTGTTAACATTAGTAAATATAACATTTAGAAACAATTACTGTTCACCTTCCAACATAGGAATCAATGCTGTAATACCTTTGCTTTCTGTTAGTTATTGGTAGAACATGGTTAAAAGTTTAAAACACTGGTTTATCTGGAATAACCGTGGAAGGGAATATTTTATAATCATAATTCAATTGTCACATTACAATTTTACATCATGTTTCAAGAATAATGAAATGAATGATAAACTAAATCCTTAAAACTATTAAACTGACCAAAGGAACCCAAATATACTGTGCTCTATTGATTTCTTATAGACTCTGAACTTAAAGAACAAAGCAACTAATGACTCGTCCAATTATATATGAGTTATTCCCTACAGGTTTCAAAGACCTATGACTGGAAGGCAAAACATACAGCACCATACAAGCCCTTAGTTCAGAACCATGCACCAACTCAACCCAAACTTAAATTTCATTATGGGATGGGGAAAATATCAGATATGTAAATAAAGAGATACCTGCATGACCATCTGCAAAAGATGCATGCAAGCAATCGAACTTGCAAGCCATCCACTATTGGCACATATGTCTATCATGGCTTGAATGATGCGAATGCTTTGGTCCAACACCGACTTTAAGTCAGTGACATAGTCGCTGACCGGTAAATCTAACTGGGAAAAATGTGCCTGAACTCCGAAGTCATGCATTGATTAGATAATAAATAAAACAAGGAAATTCAAAGAACATTGGGAGTAACGTAAAGATAAAATGAGGGTATATGTATGAATAGATTGATGAAATACATATATGAATAAGATGAACTAGTATGTTTGTGTGCACGCATGCTAAATGGGTAAGCATTGTGTATGTCGAAAACAAATGAAAATGGCAGTTCTAATCATGTTAAAAGTAAAGTCACAAATATCTCAGACCTGAAAGAGAAGGTTTGCTTTGACATGTGGATCATCGAGGCGATTCTGATCCACCACATACCGCACTCTCTTTGACAATTCTTCATTATGTTTTTCCTGAGATCCAAAAGCAAATTTATTCAAGGTAAAGATAAACATCTCATCTCTCCCATCATGTAGAATTCAAAATTCAAGCATAATAAATTTTATACAGCTCATATTACCTGGCATATATGATGTACTTGTGGCGTTGGATCAGAATTAACAACAAGGCATGACATTAAAAAAAGACACTAGATATCACAAACTTAAACATTTATCACTTTAATATATTAGTAAGAACAAAACTTATCATGAAGAACTCTGCTTGAAGATAATGATATTACTTCTACCATGGGTCACTTAAGAAGATAGCAGATGTCAAGCATAAAGTACTTTTTCTCTTAACCAGGAGATGCTCTACCTAACTAAAAAACTATTTCTATACCATTAAAAAAAGGTTAGGCTTCCAAAATTCTTTAATTTTTTCAATGTAAGGAAAGATCTGAAGTCCTTGACAACTACTAAGGAGATCTTACACATGTATTTTAAACAATTGATGCGTCTATGAATCCATGAGTTGAGAAGAAAAATGACACACCCCCTTTCTTTTCATGCAGTCTCACTTGGCATAGAGATTAGCAAAAAAAAAAAATTTTTTTGCATTGGAATCTTAAATTTTTTATAATATTAATGCTTAATGGTTTTAATGCTAATAAAAGAAGAAAGAAAAGTTTCTTGCAAAAATTAAAAGTATTCAGTGCTCCAAAATGAAAGAGGTTAGAGAGTTTTGTACATCTCAAAAAAAAAGATGGATTAAGAAAATGGCACTGAGTGAGTATTCAATAATTAACACAAGTAAAAGATCTAGTATAAAATTTAACAAAGCATCAATTATTAGAATTCCTTGGTCTAAACAACTTATTCCATAGTGAAAATTCAGAGGGCATCTACTGTTCTTGTTTTCCTGAAAAAATTCCATTCAGGGATTTCTTTCTTTTCTTGTTTATAGGTCTATACTCGGATTTATGTCATTTTCCTAATATACATGTCTTGATTTAGAGAACACATTTATAGAACTGTTTACACTGACATGTTCCCCCAATACTCTGTACTTTAACACGAAGGATTTAGTCTAATTGTTTCCTGCAACTACCCGATTGCGGTATTTTATACTGTACCAGAAAATGATAATAAATGATAGATACACAACCAGACATTCTATCGAATACTTCTACGAAAAGGTAAAAACAAAGTCATTATCATGAAGGCATTGATTACAAGCACAAGGACAAAAGAAAGAAGGCCCAACAGGGGCAATTAGAAACACAAGAGAGAGAGAGAGAGAGAGAGAGAGAGGGAGAGGGTTTGCCAATTTCTGAGCCAGATACAACCTCAAAGAGACATAAGGTCATTAGTAAATGTGATGGGAAACATATTACAGGAAAAAAGCCATGATACCTCTGTAATTTTGTGTTAAACTGTGCTCTTCTGAGCTTGTAACTGCTTAACCACACAAATGATTAAGA